AAGAAATTGAATACTTTTATTCTTCAAGGACACATTAAATTGATCAAAAGTAACAGTAAAGACATTAATAGAAAGACTTACATTTGAAATAAATATTGTTCTTTTGAACTTTCTATTTCTATAACTTTTAAAGATTCCTGATACAAAGAACTATCACAGTTTTTTACAAAAATATGAAGCAGCACAACAACAAAGTTTTCAACTTTGATAATAAAGAAATGTTTTTTGAGCAGCAAATCAGCATATATGAAAGTTTTCTGAAGGATCATGTGACACTGAAGACTGGAGTAATGATGCTGAAAATTCAGCTTTGCATCACAGAAATAAATTACATTTAAACACAGGTACAAAGTCCAGCAGAGGTGAAAGCAGATTAGGATGTCTACAGCAGACAGGTGATGTGTCTCAGGTCTATGTTAAAATGAACAAACCCAGAGGACAATTGTATTGCTTATTGGTAGCTTATAATAATAAGAAATGTTTCTTGAGCAGCAAATCAGCATATTAGAATGATTTCTGAAGGATCATGTGACACTTAAGACTGGAGTAATGATGCTGAAAATTCAGCTTTGCATCACAGAAATAAATTACATTTAAACACAGGTACAAAGTCCAGCAGAGGTGAAAGCAGATTAGGATGTCTACAGCAGACAGGTGATGTGTCTCAGGTCTATGTTAAAATGAACAAACCCAGAGGACAATTGTATTGCTTATTGGTAGCTTTTTATCAGTTCTCAATTATGAGTTAGTTGCTCATACAGTGCAGAGCTATAAAAGTTTGCTCCTGGAGGAATTTGAGGCCTGGTTTTGAGATCTGTATTTAGTGCTGTGCTTGATCACACGAAAGCAGTGTATTTTTAGGTGAAGGTTTATACATCTACATATGCAGTATGTTCGAAATGTTGTCAGCAAGATCAATTCAAGACATGGATCTGTTTTATTCAGCAGGACTGAACTTCCTCTTTCCAGAGCAGTCATAAAACCTTGTCTCCTTACATTTTCATGCACTGCACCTCAGGCAAACTTTTTGCACAGATGAAAAATGTTTTTGAATTTATCATTCATAATTTATAAGCTGCAGACAAATGGTTGTAAATGAGATGTTTGTAATATGTTCTCTATTAATTTTTACCAGTATACACTGTAAAAAAATATTTTTTATTGGAGTATGTTTTGCTAGCAAATACTATTTCAGTGTTTAATTCAAAATGTGACTTGCTGTTTTTTTGGGGGGGGTTTTTGTGAAATTTACTACCAATTTTTTAAGTGAAATGTTTTCTAAACCAGTTTAGTGGTACACAGAATAATTCAAACTTGTGCAAATGGACATAAAATTTACTGTAATGTATGAACTCTGCCTCAGGATTTAGTATTAGTCTTTTTAAGCAAGTCAGTTCATGTGAGATGCAGCAATTTTTTTTGTCAAGCTTCTTCATTGAGGAAAGACCTTATATTTTAATGTCAAATTTAGAAGGAAATCAGACAAAATAATAAATGTGTTTCTTTCCCATTCGTTGTTTTCTGTTTATCTTGTCTCTGGTATTATATGTCCTACATAACCTCTGACCTGGACTGTGTTTGAGGTCCAAGGCATGAGCTGCAAATGTGTCAGCAGGGTTAACAAGATCTATGTCAGCTGTTAATGCCACATCCATGTAGTTCATGCAGACTCAGTCAACTTAGTGAACTGGAGGTAGTATGCATGGGAGAACTAGCGTATGTACCCTCATCTGAGAGTGTGAATGTTTGTTAAGCATGTGTTTTAGAACCAGCGTGTCGTGTCTGTCGGCAGGTCGCGGGGCGGCGGTACTCTCTCTGGGATGACTTCCTGGTGCAGGGCCGGCGTGAGGGTCAAAAGGAAATGACCTTGGAGGAACTGCTGAAACACATTCAGGTTAAGCACACACGCTGTCAGCATCAGACACTTAAAAGACATCAGATACCATTCACACTCAGTCTCACACCAGTTTTTTCTAAATCTTCTTTGTCTTTTCTTTGGAACCAGAACTGATTTTTTAGTGCCACAGAAATACATGCACTAGTTATTGTATTTTTGATCAAATAAATGCAGCCTTGGTGAGCATAAGACACTTTTTCCAAAAACCATAATCTTAATTATTTCGAACTTTTTAACTAGCACTGTATAAAGTGCACAGTATGCAAATGTTCGCACTGAATATATGCATGATTTACTGTACTACATTTGACAAAATGTGCAGTATACAACCAGAGCACACTGCATTGTTTACTGGGATCACAATGTAGTGCACTCGACTTGACCTTTCATTCCTAAACTGACGAATGAACAGAGCTGGGTAGATTACTTACAAATTGTAGTCCGTTACTAATTCGAAATGACATGACAAAAGTTGTAGTTAGTAGCGTAATCTTTTCGTTTATCACATTGATTTACATACCATATCTTGTACCATATCGACATAATTATCAGAATATTAACTAATATTTAACACCTCCTTTTTATCTCATTATTTGTTAGGCTGCAGAAAGACATTTTCACACACAAAATTAAATAAAATGCAAAATAACTTATTTCCTTAATAATTGCACAACACTTTCTAAATTAAACATTGAATGTAAAGGTGCATTTGTATATATTTCAAATGAATTTTTTTATAGTATGTTTCATATCCTTTTTTTGTAAATTGTATGCACTATAGTTACTGTACAGTAATCTAGTACTTAATTCTCAACATAACCGATGTTACTTCGGCATAGCAGTGACCTTCCTGTTCCTCTATAATTATGAGCGAGTCCATACCACACCCTTACATAAATAAACACTCTCTACATTAATTCACAGCAACTATTCTTATGTAATCGTGTCTTATACTGAAGATAATGCTGGTTTATAAAGGTTTGGTTCTTCTTTGATTTAGTCAAAAAAGAGAAGAGGTATTTTTATTGATTGATAAACTTATTGTTTGTGCAGCATAACTGATTTGGTACGCACCGCGACCAAGTGTGAGATTCCAGATCACCAGCAGATGTTGGAGATCGTTCCCTCATTTGAAGAGGATGAGGACTGCCAGACTGTCCCGCCCATCAGATACCTGCTCAGGTGATGCTGGAATCCAGATGTCAACTATTAACCTCTCTCTATTAACTTTGATTCTAGGTTTATGCTGAACAGTCATGTGAATTTGTACACTGCAAAAATGACTGTTGAAAATAATCAACATGGTAAATTTAATAAGGTTTATTCTTAAAGGGATCATATGATGTTGCTAAAAAGAACATTTTGTGTATTTGGTGTAATGAAATGTGTTTATGCGGTTTAAGGTTCAAAAAACACGTCAAGTGCTTCACCTTCCTGTCATTTCTTCATATACATTTCTGTGAAACATTTGGCACCATGTAGAAGCATATGAAAACGGTCCAAAGTTTGGCACAACACAAAAGTTATACTTGTAATAATATTTTACTGATTTTATTGTATTTTTGATCAAATAAATGCAGCCTTGGTGAGCATAAGACACTTTTTCCAAAAACCATAATCTTAATTATTTCGAACTTTTTAACTAGCACTGTATAAAGTGCACAGTATGCAAATGTTCGCACTGAATATATGCATGATTTACTGTACTACATTTGACAAAATGTGCAGTATACAACCAGAGCACACTGCATTGTTTACTGGGATCACAATGTAGTGCACTCGACTTGACCTTTCATTCCTAAACTGACGAATGAACAGAGCTGGGTAGATTACTTACAAATTGTAGTCCGTTACTAATTCGAAATGACATGACAAAAGTTGTAGTTAGTAGCGTAATCTTTTCGTTTATCACATTGATTTACATACCATATCTTGTACCATATCGACATAATTATCAGAATATTAACTAATATTTAACACCTCCTTTTTATCTCATTATTTGTTAGGCTGCAGAAAGACATTTTCACACACAAAATTAAATAAAATGCAAAATAACTTATTTCCTTAATAATTGCACAACACTTTCTAAATTAAACATTGAATGTAAAGGTGCATTTGTATATATTTCAAATGAATTTTTTTATAGTATGTTTCATATCCTTTTTTTGTAAATTGTATGCACTATAGTTACTGTACAGTAATCTAGTACTTAATTCTCAACATAACCGATGTTACTTCGGCATAGCAGTGACCTTCCTGTTCCTCTATAATTATGAGCGAGTCCATACCACACCCTTACATAAATAAACACTCTCTACATTAATTCACAGCAACTATTCTTATGTAATCGTGTCTTATACTGAAGATAATGCTGGTTTATAAAGGTTTGGTTCTTCTTTGATTTAGTCAAAAAAGAGAAGAGGTATTTTTATTGATTGATAAACTTATTGTTTGTGCAGCATAACTGATTTGGTACGCACCGCGACCAAGTGTGAGATTCCAGATCACCAGCAGATGTTGGAGATCGTTCCCTCATTTGAAGAGGATGAGGACTGCCAGACTGTCCCGCCCATCAGATACCTGCTCAGGTGATGCTGGAATCCAGATGTCAACTATTAACCTCTCTCTATTAACTTTGATTCTAGGTTTATGCTGAACAGTCATGTGAATTTGTACACTGCAAAAATAAATAATCAACATAATCAACATGGTAAATTTAATAAGGTTTATTCTTAAAGGGATCATATGATGTTGCTAATTTGTGTATTTTGTGTATTTGGTGTAATGAAATGTGTTTATGCGGTTTAAGGTTCAAAAAACACATTACATTATTTTTTCTCCTCTATGCCCCGCCTTTCTGAAACGCGTCGATTTTTACAAAGCTCATCGGTCTGAAAAGCGAGGTGTGCTGTGATTGGCCATCTATCCAGTGCGTTGTGATTGGCCGAATTCCTCAAGCGTTTGACAGAAATGTTATGTCCCTTACCATATTGATTATAATGCGATACAAAGTAGTTTCGCTTTCACAACGAAACACACAGCGCCTTCACGACATGGTGGCGGCAACAACAATACTACAGCGAGAATAAAAATCACGCCTTCTTTCTTTGCGTGAACATTTGGGCGGCGTTATGCAAATCTTCCCACATCGTGACGTAGATATGTGGGGGCGTGTTAGAACGAGCCGTTTTAGGTAGGCGTGGTTGACTCTTAACTTTTATAAAGAATATCTCTTTGGATTTGAGACTTTAGTCTTTGCAACTTTACAGATCTTCTTTATGCACCAAGAGCTTGTAACACTCCAAAGAGAAAGGAAAAATTAAAATCGCATCATATGACCCCTTTAAAACAAATAAAAATATTGCCTACAAAACTAAACAAAAAAGTAACACTTTACAAAAAGGTCTCTTTTGTTAACATTAGTTAATGTATTAACTACACTGGAAAAAAAATTCAATCAGAAATTGCTAGTAAATTTCACATATAATTACAAAGAACCAGCAAGTAAAACATTGAATTAAACATAATTTGTAAGTAGAAAAACGTACTTCAATCATTTTATTTACAACTTTTCAAATTTATACTTTATAAAGAAATTATTTAAAAATCTGTAAATATATTTACATTTATTCATCTTTGTTAATGTTAATAAAAATAGTTGTTCATTGTTCACACAACTTGATTTTAAAAATGCATTAGTAAATGTTGAAATTAACATTAATTAACGCTGTAGAAGTATTTGGTTACACTTTATTGGTGTCCTTGTTACAGTGTAATTATACATTTAAGTACTGAGTAATATTGATTAATTACATGTACTTACTATATGGTTAGGGTTTGGCTTAGGTGATTATGTATGTATAATTAATTGTTTTTATAATAGTAAGTACATGTAACGTGTATCAAGGACACCTTAAAATAAAGTGTTACAAGGTATTTTTAATTCTTAGTTCATGTTAACTAATGTAGTAACTAATGTTAACAAATGAAACATTTTAACGTGTTACCAATATTTAAAAAGTCTCAAGTAAATGTATCTTGCTACCAAGAAAACAAGACAAATATGGATTAAGATTATGATATTTTGCAGTGCAAAGCTTGAACTGGAAAGTTTTTTGTAAAGAATCTCATTATTTTACAGTCTGTAAGTGAAATATCTTTCTGTTGTTTCTTTTAAACGTGTCTCCTGTATCAATATGACCCCTGTGGTTTGTTAATTCCCGCCCTCATCCCTTTGTTATGCAGTCATGACCGCCCACCCCTCACCTCACTATTACCATGAATGAAAGCATTTTCAGAGCAGAGCCAGAGACCCCAATGAGCTGCGTCTGCTTCAGTTAATTAATGTAATCACCTTTAGATGCATCTGTGTGCGTTCAGTCCTAATCACATTACAGCAGTGGGTCTTTCACAAAAAGACTTGACAGCTGGCTCTTTTTCTTGCTATTGTATTCTGGTTATAAGCCTTCAATTCTGCAGTAAAATTCTTAATATAAAAAAACTACTGTATCTGTCTACATCTCATATCATTATCAGTAAAGTCTTATTTTAAAGAGTGCATTCCATATTTTAGTCACTCAGCTGCTGCCTCTTAGAAATGAAGGATAATATTTGCACAGTATATGAGCTATTCGGTTTCATGTTGAAACTATGAACTATTGCACAACTCTAAGAAATTAAAATTGGTATACACATGAAAAGGCTCGAGTCATTTGACTGCAATTGAATGTAGGAGAACGTCAAACTTATGAGAGCTAAACAAATTGAATGTTGGGTTAGCATTGAAAATAATTGGGGGATTATGAACTGTAAGACTTATTAAAGAATCAGAATAAATGTATTGAAAATTGATGTCTTGTATTTCAGTTGAAACCGATTTATAAAAGCAGATTTTGAGATTTTTGATTTAAACTAGATATTTCTAAGGTGAAAACTATATGGTATAAAACCTGACTCAGCTTATTAATGCTTTAAT